AAAACAAGAGTATAATATTGGAAATGCAATTTTAATCTGCTGCAGATGAAAACAATAACATATTGAACATTAAAAATAAATTGCATTAACTTTATCAATATTGGATCTACCTGTAATATAAGAATCTATTACAAATGCCCTACAACTTTTAAACAATTAGCATACAACCACATATATTTTGATTAATCGTTTGKACATTTAGGTTATTCAAAAGTTACTGGTATATATATGTTACCTTTATACCTATAAGTACCTATAAGCAGTACAAAATATATATAATAGCCATTGGCCATTTTCATTAAGTTGTGGGTAAGTAAAATCCGTCTTTATAATTCAACTATCTACAATGATAAGTGATAATATAACCGTGAAGTTAATAAAAGCCTTGTAGTATAATTGTAATAATACCGGCTGCAAATTATATATAGACGATTATCATTATTATTTAAAGAATAGGGGGGGTTTTATATAGRGTAGTAACTAGAGGGTATAGGTAGATATATAATATATCCTATATACAGGTTAAACTATTATAAACTATATGACAATAATATATACATACAGGCACGCCCTCTAAATACATCGCGTCTAATGATTATATATATACTTACCAACGTCAAAGTATTTAGTTTTTATTCAAATCTAATAATAAAATATCCAAACTAAAATACATATTAAATGTATATAATAACAATAAGTAATAATTTTTGTGGCTACATTAACTTTATGTTAAAGCCGTTGAAGGCCATATAGGTATATATAATATATATACCTATAATTATATCAAAGCTTATCAAGCTCGTGGGTCAACGTGTAGATACACACATCACACTGTAGTATCTAAACCATATACCTATAAACTTATAGATCTATGACCTAAACCTATACCTATAGAATTGATTAAGGTTAATCACAAAAAGGCGGGTAAGTCGTGGATGTCGCTCTGCTGTACAGTAGGTTAAAACGTTAAAAGTGGGTTACTGTAAAGGATGGAATTAAATTTGAATCCAATGACATTATATCATTGTTGTTGAAGTACACCAGATACACAGAAGCTAAAGGTAAATAATAATA